CCGGGCCCCCCCTTTCCCCCCCGCTCGTCTTGGCTCTGGCGCTGGTTCGGGTGGGGCTGTTTTGTAGGATTTTTTTTTTCTTTTTTTCTTTTTTTATCTTTTTTTAATTTTTTTATTTTTTTTATTTATTTTTTTTTTTTTTGCTACAACGAAAAGCAAACTGTTTTTTTTTCTTTTCTGAGCTAGTGTGTTGTATCTTGACATGTTCCCTTGCAATATCCCTATCGTTATATATTCCTCTGTGCCGTATGAATTGGCTGGGAATCTCCTGCAACCCCTCCTCAAACAACCATGTGAATTTCCAAACCAACCAATGCGTGACGCCGGCTGCTGCGCTGGTTTGAAATCTGATTGGCTGGTGAATGATGAATTCCCTGTCTGCCCGGGCCAGCAGCGGAGTCGACCAAGCAGCAGAAGGGCCAAGAGTGTGGAAGACGACGACGAGGGGCATCTGATCTATCGCGTCGGCGACTGGCTACAAGAAAGATGTACAGCCGAATCGTAACATAATTTAGCTCTCTAGTTAAGCTCCCATCGCAGTCGCAGATCTGTCTTATCTTTGTTTCATTTTATTTTCATTGTTTATTAAAGAGAAGCCCTCTCTCTCCCCCCCTGCCCCCTTTTATTAAAGCTACGTATATATTCTATACTGTTACTGCAGTGCCAGGGATGTAGGGCAGTTGCCTTGTGCAGCCGGTCTCGGCCTTCTGCCCTGCCGGTCTCCAGCGTGCAGGCTAGGTGTTGCAATGCATTCTTCTCTGCCTTGTGTACATGCCACAGCCAGGTTCCGCTCTCCACCTCATGGCCCTTTCTCTCTCTCCCTCCCTCCCTCCCTCCCTCCCTCTCAGATGAGATCATTAGCACCCTAGGAGAAGGCACATTTGGCCGAGTGGTGCAGTGCGTGGATCACCGGAGGTAGGCGTGCTGCCAAGCTGGCAACACCATGCCAGGCTGCTGCCTTCCTGGGGGGGAGCACGGGTCCAGCAGCCTTGCTTGTGTGGAGGCTGGAGTGTTGGGGTGATTGAGTCCCTTCTTATTCGGACTTAGCATGCACTGATCTGATCCAGTCCTGTTCATGGTCCCCGTGGGATGGGCTGGGATGGACCAGGGGGTAAAACCTGCTGTCTCAGCTGGTGGGGGTCACTGGGGCTCTAACACGTGGCCCCAGGATGGGTGGAGGTTGTGGTGCCCATGTCCCTCGGAGCCACATGGGCCTCAGGCTCACAGTCCTGTTCCTGCCTCTCCCCAGGGGTGGTGCGCGTGTTGCACTCAAAATCATAAAGAACGTGGAGAAGTACAAGGAGGCTGCGCGGCTGGAGATCAACGTGCTGGAGAAGATAAATGAGAAGGACCCAGAGAACAAGAAGTGAGTATTGAGTATTGTGTGTGGGAGTGTAGGAAGTCGGGGCTGTCCCCATTCGTTGACCTGGCTGAGGACAGGGTTGGCCTTGGGACAGCTTCTCGTAGGCACCCGGCTCCTCCATGAGTTGTGCCGTGGATGAAGTGACAGCACAGTGAGAGCAGGGCAGGGGTGCGAGCGGCATGACTGCCCGTAACCCCAGCATCTTCTCTCAGCCTCTGCGTGCGGATGTTCGACTGGTTTGACTACCACGGCCACATGTGCATCTCTTTTGAGCTGCTGGGGCTCAGCACGTTCGACTTCCTGAAGGATAACAACTATCTGCCTTACCCCATCCACCAAGTGCGGCACATGGCCTTCCAGGTCTGCCAGGCAGTGAGATGTGAGTGTCGGTGCCGCCACCTTCGCGCTGAGCTGGCAATATGCATGATGAAGCGTGAGCCCTGGCCTCAGCGGCTCAGTTCTGCAACTGATGGGCCATGGCAGCTAGCGGCTGTCAGAAGGACTGCCCTGTGTATCCCAAGGCTGAACCATTCCTGCCCACCAGGGTTAGGGGTAAACCCACTGTCCCTTGCCTGGCTGCACAGGAGGTGTGGGCACAGGTCTGGGCACCTGCTTTCCATCTATCCAGAGGCTCTGTGTGCTGAGCCTCCAGGACCCAGGCCCACCTGCCTTTTGGCTGGGGAAGAGCTGGGCAGTTTGCAGTAGTTGCTGAATGTGGTGTCAAACTGGAGATGGTATGGGTGGGTTAATGAATGGTTTAACCCTTGGGCTAGGCTGTACAGCCATCGCACCCCTGACTGATCCCCTTTCTTCCCCAGTTCTACATGACAATAAGCTCACCCATACAGACCTCAAACCTGAGAACATCCTCTTTGTGAGCTCTGACTACGAGCTCACCTACAACTTGGAAAAGGTAAAGGGGTAGCTTTGGGGGATCCTGGTGTCCCCAGCCCTGTGGGAGGGGGAGATGCTATGAGAACAGCATGCATGGCTGGGCAGGGCAGGGCAGTTGTGACTGCTGTAGGGAGCTCCTTGGGAGTGGTCTCCCCTGTCTCAGATGAGGTGGGACGCATGGGGTTTGTGTCAGTTCAGGCCCCGGGCAGCTCGTGAACAGCCTGTACTTTGTTCTGTAGTCAAGCAGCAGGGCTTCAAGGGTCTTGGGGTCTGATGAGAGGAGCCTCATGGCTTGTTTTCTGGGCATGGTGGATGTGCAGGGCTAGAAGGTGGCTGTCAGCCCCACAAATCTACAAGGTGTTGGCATCTGCGGTCCCTACTTGGGCACTAGCTGCCTGAGGAACTGTGCCTGCATGGTGAGACTGTGACACCAGCATCTTGTTCTCCTTTCTTAGAAACGGGACGAGCGGAGTGTGAAGAGCACAGCCATCAGGGTGGTGGATTTTGGCAGCGCCACGTTTGATCATGAGCACCACAGCACGATTGTCTCCACCCGGCACTACCGGGCCCCGGAGGTCATCCTGGGTAGGTCAGCAGCCTCGGCCCATCCAGAGACCCCCCAGGGGCTAGCACCCCTGTCCCAAGGGCTCATCATACTAGATGCACATTGTAGCCCTGCCTGCTGGGTGTATGACAGTGGCCTCAGCTTCACACCTGGTGTCATAGACTTTGACTACTGGAGGTCAGGTGGTTTTTCCAAGGGGCTCTGCAAAGTGCTGGTCCTAGAAAGGCAGCCAGGCTTGGAGCTCAGGGCTCTACTTCGACAGCACAGTACCTGTTAGTGTGGGGTGGGAGTCCCTTTGACAGCTGGGCTTTGCAGGGCTTGCACAGCCACTGCTTTTTCGCTCTAGTGATATTCCCTCTGTCTCTAGAGCTCGGTTGGAGCCAGCCCTGTGATGTGTGGAGCATTGGCTGCATCATCTTTGAGTATTACGTGGGCTTCACCCTCTTCCAGGTGAGAACCACATCCTCTCTGCCCAGCAGCCTAGAGCTGTAGGAGGCAGATGCTTGTATAAAGAGGATGAAGTCTGCCGTGTGCTTTTGCTTGGTGTGCAGGGCCAACCTGTTCTCTCTTCTAGACCCACGACAATCGGGAGCATCTAGCCATGATGGAAAGGATTCTGGGACCAATTCCTTCTCGCATGATCCGGAAGACCAGGTGAGTAAGGCTGGCTGCTATGGAACAGAGCCCCCCTCCCCTCCCAGGAAGTTGGGCCTGGGTAGAGTCTTAGCTGCAGGGCCCAGGAACTGCCGGGGGGGGGCACTTCTCCATCTGCACTGCTGCTTGGCCATAGTGGTCTGTAGCAGCAGCAAGGCAGATGTCTGGTGGGTGAGTCCCTGCTGGGGCATGGCTATGGCACCAGTACCCACTCCCTTCTGGTACTTTATCTTGGCAGGAAGCAGAAGTATTTCTACCATGGCCGCCTGGACTGGGATGAGAACACCTCTGCAGGCCGCTATGTCCGTGAGAACTGCAAACCACTGCGGGTAAGGCAAGAGAGCAGGGTGGGTAGGAGCTCTGAGTTAGGGCACCCTTCTCCCCTGGAATGCTCTGTGCCTGCTGTGGCTTACAAGAACCCAGTCTCTTCAGTCAGGAGGGCTGTGACCATAGTCTGCTGGGAACCAACAAGAGGCTTTGCTCATGTGGCTTCTTAATGTGGCCTGGGACTGTCCACTGGAGACTGAGGCAGAGTGTGATAGGTGGCAGGAGCCTGACCATCTGTCTGGGATGGGAGAGGGAAGAAAACCCATGGGAGTTCTGGGATGGGGGAGCAGGCCCTAAATCATGCATATTCTTGGTAAGACTCCCCAGCTGTGACCCCAGGGAGTGAGAACACCCAGCTGTGCTGGGGCAAGGCCCATCGGTCCTGGTGCCTGCCACCCTGACCCCTCCCTCATTCCCTCCCCAGAGGTACCTGACCTCAGAGGCTGAGGACCACCACCGCCTCTTCGATCTCATCGAGAGCATGCTGGAGTACGAGCCGTCCAAGCGCATCACCCTGGCCGAGGCACTCAAGCACCCGTTCTTTGACGTGCTGAAGATGGAGCTGAGCACAAAGGTGTGGGACTCTAGCCGAGACATCAGCCGGTGACACTGTCGACACCAGTGTGACCTCAGGTTCTAGCCCCTGTGGAGGCCTGTGTGATTTGTATCAGACACTTGGTGCTTTTTTATACAAGAGAGACTCCTGGACCCTTTTGTTACTGTGTAAAGCTGTTAATATGTGAGATATTGTACATAGCCCATATTCTGTATCAGCCTCTGAGCCGTGGGCCTGACCACCACCTGCTGCTGCCGCCGTTGCCCTAAGACACAGGGCCCATATGTCCATTATGTAAATACTTTTCTTCACATGTTGCTCTGTCTCTGGTCCTCATCCCCTGCCCCCCCCAAGTGTGAATACCCTGGGGCTCCTGGCTGCCTGTAGCTCTTCCTTTCCTTGTAAGTTATGAAGCTGGTGGGATCGCATGGGAATTATTTTTTGGATCAATGTCATAGCCCATCCCCACACCAGAGTTTTATAAGAATTTTGTACAGTCTTTGTGAAAATAAATATGAAGTGACTTAACCTTCCAGGGCATCTTCCCAATCTGCATCCAGACCAGTGGGGCCTGGTTTGCCTGCCATCTCCCCAGGGTCTGGGGTTGGGCCTGTGCTGCCCTGACAGCAGCCAGGGTGGGTGTCATTGGCCCCCTGCCTCTTACCTCCAATCTTCTCCCCTTCCCTAGGGAGGGAGGGTCTGTTCCGGTGTTGCTACATTGGAAAGCAGGGGCCTTGCTGACCAGCTTTGACTGAGCTGTTGCAATTCAGCAGCCAGGGCTGCTGCGTGGGGGGCTGGGGCTGGATCTGAGTTGAGCCCGGGGGGGGGGCAGTCCTATGCCCAGGCTGCTGCCATGGCCAGCTCTGAGTAACCTGAAGCCCAGGACAGCTAGAGTCCATCACCAGACTCCTCTCCTTTTGTATGTGCCCTCCTGCATGCCTCCAGGCTCCATGGCTCTCTTGTTGATAGGCCATGTTAGTAAGGCTGTGCCTCTATGCCTCTGTAGAGGCCAGCTCTGGCCCTAGGTCTCCCAGTCTTGGTGCCCAGCAATCCGGGCTGAAGGGGGTCCAGGTCATCAGGAATCCTTGTGTGGGAAGTGGAGCACATGCTGGCTCTGCTCTGGAGCAGCCTCTGCTTCTCAGGATCAATGTTTGGTGGTCAGAAAGTGCCAAGTGTGAAATGCAGCCAGGTCCTGTGGCCGGAAGGGCAGAGGCTATTTTAGGTCAAGGTCACTGTGGCAAACCTGGACTTGAGGAAGTGCCATGGGCTCATAATGTCCCTGCAGAGCAGAGCGAGTCCAAGCCCTCAGGCCTCATGCTGTCCCCTGGATCTAGGGAGTGGCAGCACTGGCTAAGAGCAGTGGCTGCTGCAACATCCGAGTCTGGGTGCCCCCATGACTAATAATCCCTTGGCAGGCTCTTGTTACCCAAACACAAGGACATGCAGACTGCTCCCAAGGGAGCTGGCAGGGACGTGGCTGATAGTGTTCATGATTCTTGGCTCGCGTGTGCTGGAAAAGCCCTGGGGGGCTGAGGGGAGATGAGACAAGTGCACAAGGAGCCATTATGTAGGGTGCTTATTGCTCTGCTGATGCACCATATGGCTACGGCAGACGGTCCTAGCCTAGCACCCTGTCATCACTCTGAGGGATAAAGGAAAGCCCAGCTTCAGCTGCAGTTAGCGGGGGCTGAGTTTGAGACCGGGGCGGGTGACATTGAGTTGTCTTTGTCTGCTTCTGATCCCGACTTAAAGAGCTTGGGCTGGGAGCTTTAATTTGCGTTCCTCAGCGTTGCTTCTTCAAAGCAGCTGTGGAGACAGACGGGGCAGCACCTAGGAGTGAGCCCAGCAGAACCAGAGGCTGCTGTGCTAGCTGTCAGCACCCGGAGGAGTGCAGGTGAGAGGCAGATCTGACGTCTGCCCATTCATTCCTGTCCCCAGCTAAGGCCCCTGGATGTGAAAGGATTCCTGCCCTTCGCACCCTCCCCCATGTTCCCTGTACAGCCTGAAAGACCAAGGTCACAGCACTGCCCAGAACCTGACAGCTCTAGGGAGGTGAAGTGCTATCAGGCTGGTGTTCTTGTGGGGGAGAATATAAGGGCTACAGCCATGCACACTCCCCGCAGCTCCTCTCCAGACCCTAGGGCTTGGAGAATACTCCACAGCCTTGGGGCCAGTGCAAGTGCCGCCACGTACTGAATTCACAGGTCTGTCCCTGGCCAGGCAGGTGGTTCTTGTGTGCCCTATGTGACTGGTTCTCAGAAAAATGAGCAATTATCTTGGCACAGGGCATTCACTGAACTCGCTGTTGTGTGGCTGACAACCAAGTATGAGGTGTTTGAGAACCGGGAGGTGCAAAGCCATCCGAATTCTGTCTTGCTGCAGATTCCTTGCTGACTAGCTTGGCTAGGTAATCCCTACAGCGGTGCCTCCCCGTGCTCTAGGCTCATGGCTGGGGGGTTGGGTCCCGGCACCCAAGTTCTGTTTCTGTTGCTTGGACAGCACTAACTGCTGTCACCGCTTCCTCTGCTCCAGCCTCTGCTTACAGCCTCCACCCAGTTTTCCGTTCATGGAGTCTGCGGTGAAATCGGCTTTCGGGGTCCCAGTGAAACAGCTTTTCTCCTGCATCTCTGCTGACCGCAAGGACAAGGATTTCCAGACCCGGGGAGGCTTCACAAAGGGCCCAGGAGAACACCGCAACCCGAAGGCCCAGGAGGAGAAGTAAGAGCCCTGCCACTCCCAGCTCAGGGGGCTGTTGAGATTCTAGCCCAGCTGCTTGGTTTGTATCCCCAAGACTCGCACACAGGAAGCCTGTTGTGATGGGTCTGTCTGTATGGAGCCATCTTCAGGCAGCTTCATTTCCTTCCTCTTGCTCCGGGGTGAGCACAGAGTATGGTGGGGACCGGCAAGGGGGCTGTGGGGCAGCTGGCCCAAGGGGTGGCACAGCCTTCTCTGGCCTAAGGTTCCTGCTCCCTGGTAAAGCCCGTCATCCCCCTGCCCCAGGCAAGCCCCGAGCTGTAGCCTTTCCGGCGCAGAAGCGAGCGGGACGCCTTCTACGCTCAGAAGAAAGCCGAGCGTGCGGCCATGAGGACCCAGCTCCGGGAGAAATACCAGCTGCCCGAGGTGAGGGTCTTGCTGCTGGGGGACAACTCAGCTGCTTCGCGGGGCGCTCGACCAGGGCAAGTTTGGGTTACAGCCTGGGAGCGCTGCTGGAGACAGGCTCGGGGGCTGCAGGGACTGGCCAGCCCTGCAGGCCGTGTGGCCTCTCGGCTCCGGGTCTGTCCCTGCTCCCTGGTTGCTGGTCGCCGTGCACTGCAGCTCCAGCCGGGAAGGGAGGAAATTTTCGCCCCAACGGTCCGGGTCACGCGGGGAGGGGGTGGGATGAGCTCCTGACGTCCTGAGCTAACCTGTCTCCTTCCCCTTCCTCCCCAGAACAAGGCAGACACGCGGCAGCTGCGGGCGGCTGGCGCCAAGATGCCAGCGGGCCAGGCCCTCGTAGCAGCAGTGCGGCCCTTCGCCGGGCTGGCGGCCCTGGCCCTCGGCTCGCCCCAACGGTCCGGGTCACGCGGGGAGGGGGTGGGATGAGCTCCTGACGTCCTGAGCTAACCTGTCTCCTTCCCCTTCCTCCCCAGAACAAGGCAGACACGCGGCAGCTGCGGGCGGCTGGCGCCAAGATGCCAGCGGGCCAGGCCCTCGTAGCAGCAGTGCGGCCCTTCGCCGGGCTGGCGGCCCTGGCCCTCGGCTCGTGGAAGAACGGAGGCGAGAGCCC